AAGTTGAACATCCTACAGTATTTTTACAGTCTTTATTTTACAGTTAAAGTATATGTTTATCAAATAAAGTCCAATGTTACAACTAATCGAGGATCCGTTTAAAAGCTTGATTTGAAACTTTAAATAAAATTATCTAATGTTATTGTATCTGTTATTCTAGCTCACTCCAAACATATTAAATTTGTTTTCTGCTGCATCTTTTCTTTCTAAATAAACTGTCTTACCTGTTTATTCCTGATTACAGGAATGTGGTCATATATTTTGCTTTAACCAACTTTTAGTTCAGATTAAATTAGGGGTGTTCAAAAGTGTGTTTCCTGCTTTGAGAAGTCTGTGGCRTATAGCCAAACATAGGATCCCTTTCGGGGTGCTGCAAATGGTTCCACACTGAACGTTACCCATTGAAGGTGAGACAAGATGATTTGAAATGAAAATTTGAAATGATGTGAAAACGAAAGTTTTCCCTTTTAAAGTGTGAGATCAAAAATTATTTCATGCTGAAATTCTTTTATTTAGAGTTTTCTTTTATCCATATATTTATGCAGACTGAAATAGATTATGTGCATATTTGAGGRAAAAAATGGGAAAGTTGAAATGGTGAAAGGGGAAAAGTTCATCTTAAGCCTTGTCTCTGCAGTGTTACTTTTCTTTGGGTTTTCAGCAAACGTTACTGTTTTTCTAAAAAGAAATGTGTGCATATTTATATGCAACAATCTTTGTCAAAACMTGCATTATTTCAAAGTGTCTGGTCTTGTTAGATTTATTTTGCTTATTTTGCTTATTTTGTTTTACTTTATTGATTGGCTTCCTAAGTAGCATTATGTACAAATGAGAAAAAAATATATAAAAGACAAAAAAAAACTCACTGTTGTTTGTCTTTCTGAGCTGCCAGAAATAAGCGAGCAATCACATGCATATGAACATATTTATCTGTTTAAAAACATCTCATGAACCAGTAGATGGATTTTATTAAATGTTACAAACATGAGATGTAGGTCTACAATCTATTGTCTTAGAACAGATATCTTGAGATATTTTTTTAATCAATGAAATGTGGTGGCAAATGTGCCTTTATGCATTCATTTCCTCTTCATTATTTTCATTATGTTGGTATTTGACACATTGTGTTATCCAGCAGCAAGTAATTTAATATTTTGTTGAGTAATTACTTACTAGGAACATCTGCCGTTGGAGTTTCCCACTAGCTGTCTGAGATTTGCACAGATAAAACATTTTGAACTACTTTTGCGACACTTTTTCAGTTTGTCAACATTTGGGGGTGGGGAGATGTTCTAAACTCATGCATCTCATTCTTTAGAATCCTAATGGAGTTTGTGTTCGGAATGACTTTGAAATTGTAGGTGAAGTGAGTCATGGTTTTATCAAGAACAACTGCTTTCGGGAGGGTAATACAGCTCTTTTACGTGYTAAATTTGCTATAGYCTTTCCTTTTTTTCTCMGAGTCAATTAAAAAACCTCTTGTGYATTTCAAGTGCTGTAGTGTAATTGTCTGTTTCCTCCTAAATGATGTTCATACCTGTATGTCTGCAGGCAAACGTCCACACATCTTCACTTCAACAAGAAAATGTGTCTCAATTAGCTCTAAAGTGACGGGTGATTTTTTTTTCTTGTGTTTCTTTTTTTTTCTGAGTGGTCATTAAACATGTGAAGGATCACCAACAATTAGCTAGCGTACCACCAAACAGTGGCCTTTTAGCGACAAGGCTTTTAATTAGTGCAAGAAGTACTTGTCACTATGGGGAAAAWTGTGAAGAGCAAAGAAATGCTGTGAATGTGAGAGTAAGGGTCATTGCAGCTTTGAGGCTCTGAAACGGGTCCCTGGGGGTAATTAAAATCATATGCTCATTTAAGGATGTCCCCCAAAAAAGACCACACACACACACACACACACACACACACACACACACACACACA